AAAAAGGGCAGTTTTAAAATGCTGGATGCCTTCAGCATGGTTGTGGCTGCAGGTAACTGCTCGGCGGAGGCAGCACCTGCTCACATCGAGTCACCGCTGGCTCATTATCACACTAGATCTTCACTCTGGTAAACAGGTCAAACTGGCTGCAAAGATGATGTAAAAAAGTCTCCTGAAGAAGCTTTGCAGAAGGGATTCCTCCTGTTGGGGGGACAGATGAAGAAACCAGGTCCTGAGGGAGCTCCAGCGATGCCAGGTCAAAGGGTGGATGGTCGGAGCGGCTGCTCTCGGCGCGGCGTTTCCAGACACGGCAATGCCTGTGAGCCAAGGGGGCTCTTCCCAGCAAAGCTCAGCTGGGATAAGCTGCCCAGTTTAGCCCAGATTCCTGGAAAAGCACATGGGAATCAAACACGTTTCTTAGTATCTGGGGAACACTGGGAACGGTATGAAAGGTACTGGTTTGTCAGCAGAGGGATTCTGACACTCGGGTGTTTGCAGCAAGGGCAAAGATGGGTTTGAGTTGTGTTGTTGTTAGAGATGAAAGCACTGAGTCCATCAACTCAATCAGACGTACGATGGCGGGGAAGGAGAGAAAACCCTCGTGGCTCCCATCTTCCAGAGAAGGGGTTTACAAACGTTACAAATCTCCTTTAAAATTTTGTATTTAGTATTATTTGAATAAGCAAAACTTTTGAGTTTATTACCCAGCACTTTGCAGGGAAATCAGAACCTTCTGAGGAACCTTCCAGGTCCAGCTTTTGGAGCAGCCCTAAGTGTCCCTCCTGCCAGGGAAAGCAGACAGGGCACAGGACAGTCTGAACCCACACAGATCTTGTCAAAAAATCTCTCCCAAGTTCACCTTGGCAGAACTTAAACCACTTCCTCAACTCCTCCTTCTCTTTTGAATAATTATTTCAGCACCTTTCGGGCTCTGACATTTTCTATCGCTTCTGTTTTCCCAAACCTTTTCGGTGCTTTTATTGGAGAAGGGCAGCCAGACTGTGCTGGATACATTCATACCCCAGAAACCCATGGAGACCCTTCCCCAAATTCCCTCTGGGACAAGCACTCATCCTGTGCCACACGTGGTTCCCCATGCTGCTGACCACGGCCACACCAGCCCCACACCCCCACACTGCATCAAACCAGCAGAAGGGGCAGAGGGACCACGTCTCTCTCTTTGTTTTTTTTAGTTTTTATTTTTCCTGCAGACGAAAAAAATTATATATATTAAAAAAAAATTCTAGTTCATACCCGTAGCACATAAGCAGCAGCGTTTATAATCAGTCTGTGGTTTAATGAAATACAGCAGCAATTCCCAGTTGTCTCCCCAGTGAGCCCCAGCAAACATTTCTGTTTGGTTTCTACGGGAGAGGTCGAGTCCCACAGAGACACCTCTCACATGGTGAAGCTTAAAGAAAAGTCTGAAGCCTCTTTATAAAACGTTAACTTTGGGCTGTAACAAACTGGGCTTGTGGTTTAACCGCTTCAAAGCTTCTGCTCGAAAGACAAAGACACGTCAGAGACGGGAGCTTCCTTGCAAAAGGGTCTGCACCACTTTCATGTTTATCCCTCCGAAGATCTATCTGATGTCCACCTCCAGCTGGCAAGGGAGGTGCTAGGAACCATTAGAATTAAATCTAAATCAGTGTGGTGCTGTAAAGAGGATTTCAGGGCTGATGGGGCAATGCAAATATTTGAAAACACCTCACTGTCTCTTCAAGGAGCAGAACCCTCATCTGCAAGAGCCCAGGATACGTCAGGGGAACAGAAACCTGGAGTCAAGAAGTCGTGAAGCCACTGACTCACAGACAGAGACACAGAAGGAAAAGCAGCAGCGTGAACCCCAAAGGCAGGTGACCATCTGAGTTGGGGTCATGGGGAGAGCCCAGGGTGAAGGTGTCCCCCTGGCCTTTAGGTGACTATTTCTGTGAAATAAAATTGCATGTGGATAAACATCTCCAGGAGAGCATCAACTCCCACCACACACCGGCAGATATACCAGCCTCTGGGTTGTGCCTCATCAGCTTGTCCCTTTGTCACCTTGGTGAGCAGCAGGGACACATCTGGATGCCCACACCAGGTGCCTACACAGCGTATGGGGTGTTTGCTCTCAAAGGTTGTACTGGGAAGGAGGCAGGTCAGTGTCTGGGTTCTACAGAAGATGCAGGAAGGGGAACCCATCAGTAGCAGGCTGCTACAGAAGTGAAAAGGGTTGGGTTAAAGAAAAAAAAAATCTCACTCCTAGAACAGGAAATATTTCAGTATATTTTAATAATAAAATGATTCCTATTTTTCAAGCAATGTCCCACCTGGATGAGTCTCGGGAGTATTTTTGTTCCCCAGTCCTGCTGTACCAGGGCAAAGTCTCAGAGGTGGTGGCTCTACCTGTGACTGCCCGTGCAGAACAATCCCCAGCAGCTCATAGCGTGCCACCACCGCTGACGCCAACACCTCCCCGGCACCAAAACCACTTCCACAGACAGCACAACGCAGGACTCGACTCGGGTCTCTCTCAGGAGAAGAGCAGTAGGAAAAAAAAAAATAATTAAAAAATAATCAGCTTTTAATAACAGTCTGGGTTGAGATTTGTAGCAGGCCACCGAACAGAGGAGATGCCAATATTTTATTTAGTAAAAAGGTAAGTATTCAGGTAGCAGAACACCTTACAGTGACTAACTCGGCAGGGAAGGTTAAAGTCATAGCACAGCCCTAAATTTGGGGGAGTGGGACGGGGAAGACGGCGGGGAGACTGTAAGGGAAGCAGCTTCAGACTCGAACCTTGGCTTCCAATATAATGGATCCAGAAAAATATTGCATGAAAAGCCTCAGGATTTTAGTTCTTTCATAGATGTATATTTACCAGTTTTTCACAAAGACTGCAGGAATACGATTATAAACAATAAATTAGGACTTCATGTTGCTATCATTTGGCATAACACAATCAGGCAATTTTTTTTCCTTTTTAAATATAAGGCAACACAAGCCAACACATAATTTAATCCATCTTTAGTCAAATTGCTTCACTTTGCTAAAGAGTTACCACTAAAGAACGGGTTTATAGTACACTTAAAAGAATTTAAATAATGACATAAGTGTACTAACTTACGCAAGGAGTCAGAAAACGTACTCTGCTAAGCTTTGAAACCTAAATATTTGTTACAGCCCAGGACTACACGTCTAATTAAAAAAATACAAATAAATGTTTTCTAATTTTTCCATTTACGAAAAACTTTTAAGAATCTCTAGCCAACTATGACGTCACTTCAAAACTTGTTATTTTTTTTAATTTTTTTTTTAATTTTTTTTTTTTTAAATTTTGTATGATGTCTTTTTTAAGATTTTAAACCATGCTCGTTAAGGAAAGTTCAAGGAGCAAATACTTAAGGCTTTGTTTTTCCAAGGGCTGTGAGGGAGGCCAGTGGATGGTAGAGGCCAGTGGGTTCACCCATACACAATGCTACTCAAACCCACACTACCGGGCGACATTCATACAGAAATATTACACTTAAAAGTTACAGTGTAGAGCAACATTTTTAGCCAGTGTACATATAAAGAATCAATGCATTTGTTTTTTTCTTTTAATAATCTTTTTTTTTTCTTTTTTTTCTTTTTTTTTTTAATTTCCAAACTTGATTGTGATCATTATGTTCAAGTATTAGTCTCATTAACAGAGATGAGAAATTTTCTACTTACAACAAATTCGGCTGTTAGAAAGGAAAGGGATGTTTCAGTACACTGAAGAGAACAAGACGCTGAGGTTACCCAATAGTTAGTGTCCTACGGTCACTGACCACTAGCTGCTGGAAGTGATGTGGGAAAGGAACAGAAGGAATTAGGCACCGAAACCCTGGGAAAAAGGGATGTTATAAATAGCTTCACTAATTCCCAGAGAGGAAAATTGTTCCATTAAATCTGCTGTGGTGTTTTGATGGAGAAGGATACGGGACCGTTGTCGGTCCCACAGTGGCTTGTGAGCGGAGCTTCACTTCAGATCAGCCGCCTCCCGTCAGGACACGGTGCCACGCCGCCCCACGCGCCTGCTCATTGCACTGGAGACGAGCTTGAGTTCTGTCTCCTCACCCTGAAATTAATTCTAGCTACCCGAGAAGTGGCTGAACCCATTTTTGGAGTTGTCAGTGGGTCTGGATTCCCTTCACATCAGGAGAGCCAGACTCCTAGCAGCGAGGGGTTCAGACAAAGTTAGTTCTTAGGCTGGCGGAAGGGGAGCGGGGAAGGGAAATATGATGAGGAAAAAAATGCAGCTACCTACAGCCTGCCCACATCCTAAACCAGCTATTGCCCCCTCCTCCATACCCTGTCCACAAAGAAAAAAAAAAGTGTCAGAAAAATCTGCCACAGACTTTTGACTTTGGACAAAGTCTAAATGATAAATGTGGGCGTCACGGCAAGAAACAGCTGAAAAGCTTCTTCCTGTATTAACACCTAAATACAGACCCCTAGCTAGCTGTAGGCTGCTTTTTCAATTAAACAGGCCTCTAGACAGTGCAAATGGTCAATGTTTAATGCATTAATGAAACGGGCTTTCCAGCTGAAAATAAACCCCGCTTCCTGACAATTTCTGTTGCTCTTAATCTCCAGCAGAAATTGAGATGGCAATTTAAGCAGCTACGCTACCTCGCTCTTTACGGTGTCGGCGAACAGATGCGACTGCGAAACCCTGCAGCAGCAACTCGACATCAGTCCAGCAAGCAGCTACTAAGCAGAAGGCAAAAAAGCTGCACAAAGGGGATTCTGCGGTGAGGAAACAGCTGTGGTGTGAAGTAGTGTAATGAAATTCTTTGAAACAAAAGGCATGTTAAATATTTGATGCACAAAGGAGACAGAGAACATGTAAGCAAAGCTTTTAAGTATACAGTATGTCTTCTTCCAATGGTTACTATAATGATCACACAAGTTTGCAAGTTAAAAATGCCTTGCTTATTAATTAAAATTAAGACTAAACCTATAATTTTTTTGTCTGTGAAAGTGACTGCAGCCTATCTATACCCTGGGTGTTGAATATGAAGATTTCGACTATCGGTTGGTTCAGGTGCTCGGTTCATGGGAGGCCGATGGACTTTTCCCAGCACGGCCATGCTCTGATCTCTGAAGCAGGACTGCTGGAAGTCCCCGCTTAGGTAATCCATGGTCTGCATCACATTATTCTGGCTGGATGGGCCAGCTCCAGCTCTGTAATGAGTTCCTCCTGCACAATCTAGCGGTGCTCCTGCTGGCTGTCCCCCGTGGAAAGGCATGGCAAGGTCCTGGGACCCAGAGCTGTCACTGTTGGGTGTGGGCAGAATGTTATTCCAGATGGGCTGGAAATAGTGCCCGTTGGTGTATGGCAAGGGTCCCTGCAACCCGTTCACAGGTGGAGAAGGTGTAGGCTTCTCGATGGGGGGCTTCAAGCTGAACGACTGGCCCATGCACAGTTCTTGAGGGTAGTTTGAAGTTTTGCCAGGAAAACTCTGCCCTGCAATCTCTCTCTGAGGGTGCTTTCCTGCGAGTCCAGCAGGCCCAGCAGCATCCCCACACATTTGCTGCAGATGTGCAAGCTGGTGCTGGTTCCACGCAACCGATTTGATTTCGTTCTGGTAGGCGGGTGGCACCCTGTTAATATTCACCATGGGCACATTAACAGAGGCAGGAGGAATAGCAGCAGCAGCATGATCTACAGGGTTTACTACACAGGAAGGCATGGGTGTAGGGACATTGTGAGTAGATACCCTGGTACTTGCATTGATAAGCAGGTTGCGACTTATAGGGCTGGGGTTTGCGATCTGTCCCTCACATACTGAGGTAGTGCTAATGCCAGCTCTGGCCTGGCAGAACTGGTTAATCTGGTGCACAATGCTGCTCAGGTCCGGTGGCTGGTTCTGCTGCAGGGTGGCAGCCATAGAAAGGGGAATGGTTGAGGTAGACACGGTCACATTCGGCGGCGCATCTGCATCCGGCATCTTTCTGCTTCCATGTAAACCCGGCTGCAGCAAAGGATTCGGCGGGTGCTGCAGAGTCTGGTGTGCCATGGTCTGAGGATGCTGCAAGCCCTGCGGCTGCTGCATATTCTGAGGGTGCGGCAGCGTCTGCGGCTGCGGGATCCCCTGAGGGTGCGGTAAGCTTTGTGGCTGTGGTATACCCTGAGGGTGCTGCAAAGTCTGTGGCTGCGGTATGCTCTGGGGGTGCGGTAAAGTCTGTGCATGCTGGAGAGCCTGCTGGCGAGCAAGCGCCTGGGGGTGGGTTAAAGTGCTAGGTGCAACGTATGGTGTGGAAGGGGGATTCATCATCGCTTCCGGCAGCAGACGCGTGCGTGTCCCGTCAAAGTCTTTGATAATTCCTTTTGCTGGAGATTTGACTATCGCCAGGAGGCCTGTTTTTGTGGTGGCCTGAGACGGGTAGGGACTGTACCTCTGGCCCGAAGTATCAAGTCCGTTCACAGTACGGCGTATGTGTTTCCTCTGGGGAACCTTGACGCTGTTTGGAAAAATCTTTATAGTCAGTGGATTGTTGGCGACCTTCTTAGCATAAGCATCCAATTCTGCTGGGGTAGGATACTGTGCAGATCTCATTTTCTGTGTAGTGTCCCCTGTGGAGAAAGGAAATTCGTCAGTACCGAGTCTGGTAATCAAGGGATCAACCCCAGGGCAAAAGACAGTTGCACAACAAGGGTAGAAAAATCTCCAAGGAATCAAGAGGCAAGAACTTCATCTTCCCAGACCAGCAGATTGTGTACCAGATACCACATTCCCTTTATTACCTGGTGACCAACACAACCCCCAGTTCAGCTTAAGGCAAGACCTGCCATGGGGAGCAAAACGAAACGGGTGTTTTCATCAGAGTGTGTTTACAGTTGGACAAAAACAGGTGACATGCTATAAACATCAGACTGTCTCCAGCTTGAGATATTTCTTACAGCTTGCAGTGGTGGGCTAGTTTCTATTCTCTTTATTTAAGGCTGCCTCCCCATTGCTCTTCAAGCCATTCTCAGTACCTTTACTGTGCAGTTCAAAATCAGAAAGTTATGAATTAAACATTAAACCCGTGTAATGCTGAGGTGGGAACCATACGAAGCACTTCAGCTCAAGCCTCCATTTACATCCGAGTTCTTTTCCAGATGCTGACATCTGAAAGCACTTTGAGTGTCTTTTTGTCCATTAGGAAGCCCTTATCAGTCCAAGTTCAGCAAATGGAAGGAAGCTACACGTGCATTCTTTTATGGCTTTTGCAATTATTTCTTCAGCTGAATTTTCAGTGTGGCACCTTGCTAACTTCAGCATCCTACTATCACCCAGCAAAATTACGTAATTACCTCACAAGATTAAAAACATGCTACTTCCCAGACACAGACAAAAAGACTTCTGGAGACAGGGGTGTGGTTTCACATACTCCAATTTACCAGACACCTAACCAGCCCACAAGCTTGAATTGCTTCTGGAAAGAACTTCAGAAATCTAGGGAAATGCTTGTGCCTCTCTTGCTATAATCATATTCCAAGCAGAGAGTTGGGTTGTTCCCCTACCACAGCTCTGCTGCTTAACTCCTATGGGACCACTGCTTTAAAAGTGATTTTATAATCTTCAAATAATAGCTTGCAGCTTTGACAATCTGATTTTGCTTTTGCTTGATTTTTTCCCCTCTACCTTGTAAACGATTTACTGGAAAAGAAACACTTGTCCTTTTTGCTAAATTTTTCAGCGCCCCCTTGTCATCTGCTGCTGGGCTGAAAGAACAGGGAAAGTGGTGGCAAGCTCCTCCAGAGCCTGAGAGCACCCCAGCCCCAAAATTGGCCCTCTGAGCCAAGGAAATCTAATCCTCCAGTAAAGAGCTTGATGCTCCTAGGCAAACAGCCCTCCCTCTTGAAAATCCATCTCTGATTCTTTTAAGCAAATTGCCTCCAAAAGGCTCCTGAATGCAGCTCCATTCTGAGTACCAGCCATCTCCCTCTCTGCATCCTGCAGCTCCCAGTCTTCACAGGTGAGGTGAGGGAGAGCAATACCTAAGTACCTCTAAGAGCACTCACTTGCAGAAAGTAAGGGCCAGAAAATGGAAAACAGGAGACATATCAAAAGAAAGGATAATTACAGAAATATTAAAAACATCTTTTGTGACATGAGAAGCTTTGCAAGCAGGCTGTCTTGTGTCTCTAGCACAACAGGTACCATAGTGCTGGTAATGGTCTTACTCTCTGCACTGTCCAAACACTGGCACGTACCACCCCTTTCTCTTAATCAAAGGAAATGCTCATTTGATATTAACCCAAACATCCTCTCTGCTCATATCCCTGCTCCTGCCGCTGGTGGTTTGTATCCATCCTTTTTGAGTGAGCTGCTGTGCTCATGACAGAGAGAAGAGGCTCCAAACGGATTTGCCAATACTACCTTTCCTCAACAGCCAAGGCCTTCATGAGCTTCCCAACCTTTATTTTTTGCATTGCTCATGCTTGTTATGTTTCTTCCCCAAGAGATGTCCCTTGCAACTCACCATGGATCAGAGAAGAACTATCAACAATGGACAAAGGAATCCACTCCTGACTGTATTATGTTTTATGTTACAGTTACGGCCACTGTCACATGAAGCTTTTATTTTCAGATGAAAAATTAAGTAGATATTTTAAGACACCTTTACCATCAAAATTTCCCAGGCTGGTTTACATTTCTATAGGCATATCAGCAAATTAGGTGGTAGATATAAAAACTGAACAGACACACTAAATATTCTTTTACCCAAGCATCTATTTTTCTGTTACACGGGAACTGTGATGGAAGCTTTTAGAAAGGAACTAAACCAGCAATGTTTGAACAGGCTGCGGCTATCAGTTACAACACATCTGTAATCCCACATCTGGATGAACTCCTTCCTCTGATGAGACAAAATAAGTCCTCAGTCAAACTGAAATGAGGCACCAACATCAAGTCTGGCATCCTACTAAATGGCAAACCATCTTCTAAATACCTTAGACAGGATCTTCTGAAACCAAGGACCATCTCACACAGAGCCTGTTCTGCTTAGAGCTAAGATTATGTTCCTTTTACTATGGACTAACTCAGCCATTCGACTTGTGCTTGATCAAGGTGATGTATTTCTGAGTGCCCTAACGTGCTGCTTAAAATGTGCTTTGCTAGTAATTCCACAGGCAAGATTCAATGACTGGAGTAATTAAGACAATTAATAAAAATGAGGAGAAAGGAGAAAAGCATTATAGGACGATCAAGAGTCGGAATATCCCATATAAATATCCTAGAAACTAGTACATTAGGTCTGGTTACTAAGTGAATGGAAAACCAGCTAGAATAGACCAAAAAGAAAATGCTGGTATGAGAACACCAGAAGTGCAAGAATTCTGGATCAGGCTATAAAATGATGAGGAAGATGGCAGATGAACAAGCTGCATTAAGAAAACAATGGGACGAGCTCCACAAAGTTACCTAACGGTAAATGCAAGGCAGAACACTCTTGTTGAAAAGTAATTATTTCATGTTTACTAGAACATAAAGCTGTGCATATGAGCAATTACCCCAATAAATTGGTGAGCTGCAAGTTCACACTCTCGTTAATCCTGTGGCAACCAATTCCATCTGGTCACGTTCCCGTGCGCGTCTCACCGCTGGAGCTATTTTTATCATGAAATGAAATATATTTTCTGCCTCACCTCAGCACTAATATAACATCTTTTAAGTGCATTTCACATTAAGGCTTTAAAACACACTGCTTTTAAAAATGCCTACGGTTAAATTTTCATTAACATTAAACAAAATACAAACAGGCCTTCAGGATTCCTACCCTCACGAGAGAATCTGTGTTGGGACACGTGAAAAACAGCTGTGCTCATCTTCTGCATAAAAATTTCAACTGCAGTAGTTTCTCTACAGGCTTTATAGAAGGAGCCCTCACCCCTAGAAAGGACTTGATCTTAGCCAATTTCCTCATATTCAGTTCCAACCTGCTCATCTCCCTTTTGCATCACCCATTCCTCAAAAAACAAACAACCCCCCCCCCCAAAACCCACCCAAAAAACCCCAAACCAAAAAAAAAAAAAGCCCAAACAAAAAAAAAAAAAACAAACAAAAAAAAAAAACTCTCCAAGAAGCACCTTTCACCTTGACTTTGTGCCACTGTCACAAAAAAATCACCTTTTTTTCTCCCCAGCCCAACAGCCCTGCCACTATGTCCAACAGTGGCTGCAGACACTGTCCAAATGATCTTGCCTCAAGTATCCCAATTAATTGGTCAGGTTTATACTGGAGTCACTGGGAAGAAGGAGAGAATATCAACATGGAGTCAGTGAGAAATCACCTGTGTGGATAAGGATGAATTTCAGGTTTAGCCTTTCCTGTGATGCAGGTTGGAATTCAAAGAAAAATACCGAAACTGGAAGTGTTTCAGTTTCTAAAGGAAACTAAAGGAAAATATATGTGCATACTAATCTACAAAAACTCCTACTGCACAGACCACCTTTAAGAAAAATGCCTCTTACTTGAAAGTGAAGAAGAAAAAAAAAAGATAATTGTGCTAATGTGGATTTTTAAGCATTAATAAAAAGTCTGATCCAGAAAACTACACTTAAAAATTATTAAAGCAAACATCGTAAGCCTAAGTAAAGACTATCATGTGGAGTTCTGCACCTTTTATAAAAGCAATGGCACTATTATTAAAGCCAATTTCCAACCCCCCACCAAAAGTCACAAGTCACCGTTCATTAAAAATGCTCATTAACTCAGCTTTCCTTTGGCCAAGGGCTAAACTGCTTGTGCATACACAGAACGGAGAGAAACGCACCAATTAATCTTACACACATCTGCAGCAGGGGTGAGCAAGGTCTGTATGAGCAGCTTCATTTTCCATATAAATCAGAATAAACTGGAACAGCTGAGCATTACCACTGCCAGCCAGTGCCTGCCAGCTACTTTATGTCCTAAATTCTTTTAAATGCAGTACCCGAAGCTCTTGGCTAAGCAGGATACAGCAATGCTTTCAGCATGGGGATAAGCAGTTCTCAGAAACAGCACCAGGTACCATCAGGCAAAGAAACTGCCCACATACCAGCACGCTGCCTCGTAAACATGTAATTAGTAAACATCTGATTTAAGCACAGCTACCCTCACATGAACCTCAACAATTTGCTTTCAGAACTAAGCTTCCCGAGCCACCAAAGAAACTTTAGGTAATGCAAGGACCTAGGCATTTTCTCACCACAACAGCCTACCTTTTGAAAAAGCATGTTTTGGTCAGCAAAGCTCAAACTGGAAATGGAAAAGAGAAAGGAGGGGAATGTCCAGCTTCATGTCATCTAAGGAAATCCTTTTGTGAGAAAAGATTTTTTACTATTGCCAAAAGTGTCATTACAATTACCAAGCCCGTGGAGTTAATAAATGTACGTGCTGGGGGGGAGCACACATGCCTACGTGAACAGCATCATTCACTTCTGTCAGGACCAAGACTTTGATGATGAACACGAGCAGACAGTGTGCGCTTGCAGCCCAGAAGGCGAACCGTATCCTGGGCTGCATCAAGAGAAGCGTGACCAGCAGGTTGAGGGAGGTGATTCTGCCCCTCTACTCCGCTCTTGTAAGGCCCCACCTGGAATACTGCGTCCAGTTCTGGAGCCCCCATCACAAGAGAGACATGGACCAGTTAGAACAAGTCCAGGGAAGGGCCGCCAGGATGATCCGTGGGCTGGAGCACCTCCCCTATGAAGACAAGCTGAAATAGTTGGGGCTGTTCAGCTGGAAAAAGAGAAGGCTCCAGGGAGATCTTACAGCGGCCTCCCAGTACCTGAAGGGGCTACAAGAAAGCTGGGGAGGGACTTTTCATAAGGGCAACTAATGACAGAACAAGGGGAAATGGGTTTAAACTGAAAGAGGGGAGGTTTAGATTAGATATTAGGAAGAAGTTCTTCACTGTGAGGGTGGTGAGACACTGGAACAGGTTGCCCAAGGAAGTTGTGGATGTCCCCTCCCTGGAAGTGTTGAAGGCCAGGCTGGATGAGGCTTTGAGCAACCTGGTCTAGTGGAAGGTGTCCCTGCTGATGGCAGGGGGGTTGGAACTGGATGAGCTTTAAGGTCCCTTCCAATCCAAACCATTCTATGATTCTATGATGTCACCCTTAATTGCAAAATTATCTTACCTATTTTCAGTAGCACCACAAGTCTTAACATCAGAACAATTTTAGCTATAACTGGACTGTAAATTACTTGGTTTTAAAGAGGAACGAGTGCATCAAACTGAGGGTACGGAGATCTCCCAATGCACGTTGCAAATACAAGAGACAGGTCACAACCCAAAGAACCAAGCACACAGATGTTATGTAGAAAACTTGGTATTTCTGAAATTTCAGCTGAACAATCAACGTGCAACTTCAGTTATTAAAGAGGAGAAACAGAGTAAGATTTTTAAAAATCTCTAGCCAGTAAACTTATGTTCCCAAGTGTAAGTTGTTCTTAAAAATACTAGCACAACTATCAAAAAAAATGACTGAAGTTATCAAAAAAGAATTATCAGAGTACTCTGCAGACGTATTTTCAGAGGCACCAAAGAGACATCAGAAAGAAGATGGAAACTTTGAACTTTAGTAATGTGGGCTATTATATCACTAATATTTGCAGTACATGCCCCAGGTATGTAGAACAACAGAGCTGCTGACCTCAAAAGGTTTGCATTAGCCTAATCCAACTTTTATTGGTGTGTATGAGTAATTAAACAAATGGAAGTGAAAAAAAGAGTCAGGAAAAAGGTGCGTTAAGAAGCAAGTCAGCTAGCACACTTTTAGCACAAAATGTTTTCAGCAAAGAGGCACGAATCTCACAGAAACCTCGCTTGCATTTCGTCTTGCTGTGGTTAAAATTAACCTTTATAAAGCCAGGAAGGGGGGAGAGCTTGCTGCACACACCTGAACCTCCACAGCCATTTCTCAGAGCCATTATTGACGGCTGCCTTGAAGGCATAACAAAAGAAAGACTCTCACATTAAATAGTTTTTCCACTGTATCCTAAATGTTTATGTCACAGCTGTACCAGAGCCAGATTTAACAGTTAACCACATCCTGCAGACAAAACGTCACTCACATTTCTGAAGTCCAGTGTTCATCTGCGTGTAAGAAAGAAGCTGAAAGGAGAGGTCACCTGGTCCTGGCAGACAGGCCAGCATGGCAGACAGGTACTAACACAACATGGGGCATTCACTCCTCTGCACACTGCAACAACAGAGAGACAATTCAAAGTTATAATACAAGGAGGAACAGAGAAAAGAAAGCGGCAAAGAGCCATCCTTGGGTGAAGGTCTGACCAAGCACAGATGTGCGACCGCTGCTCCAGCCCTTACTCCATCTCGTAACAGCAACGGAAATACTTCAAGAAGTGGGTCATCAGCAGGGTTAAAACTAAACCAGCCGTCTCGCTCTCCTCTGCTGCTTGACACACAGAGGATAGTCCATAACTCTGTCCTCGGATTTCAAAGGTGGTTGGTTAGGAATGGTAAAGAAACCACCATCATTCATTTTACTATATATTGAAATGTGCTGGCTATCTACCAGCTATAGCCAAAGCAAGTCCTCTGGAGAAATCCTGTCAGCTGCTCTTTTACGTTTAATAAAAAGGCATGGCATGCATAAATGGAAGGCAAAGAATGCAGCACTCTGCCTTGTGGCAAGATTAAGCTGCATGCTACAGCTTGTAATTTCTGTGGTCCATTAGGCTGGAAGATGAATGGCTACAACTTCCTCATTTCATAGGAGACTCGCTAACCCGCACGGCCCTGGGTTAGACAAACAGCAAGACATGCCTCCTGCACAAAGGAGCTGCAGAGGTGCCACCACCCTCTCCTGCAGAGGTTCAGCGTTTATGAAATCAAACCTCAAAATGAATGCACAGAGCACTAAAGCTCTTTATATATAAACACTGCACAGCTACCCTCAAATCCCATCATCGCGTACAGGCGCACGGGAGGTTTCCAGCAACAAAGCTAACCCAGGCTCAAAGTCTCCCAACATAACCAGGATTACAGAGAGAAATCTGAGTTGGAACAAAGTCTCTAGAAGTCACCTGGTCCGAGGCCCTGCTCAAATCCAAGCTGGAGAAATCAGTTGACTTCTCCTCCTTGCCCAGATCTCCACAAGCATCAGTGCTGCTATACAGGGAGTGCTTTTGCCAAAACACCTAAGGAGCAGCTAGAAAGGGCTTGGGGCTCATTATATGGCCCCCAAAACATGGGAAGAGTTGAAGGCTTCAAAAGTTATAGGCTGGTTTAGTTTCAGCCGCTGTTTCAAGACCCCAATTGGTCTTGAAACAACAACTGGGGAAGCATTCAAAGATCAAGCAGAAAGCTCAAGACTGGCACGAGAAGCCACGGCCACAGAAACCCCACAGAGGCCACTTCTGAAAGAGTCACACTGTCGAGGACCGCGTAAGCGATGTGAATGAAACCTCTGGATGACACCCAATACAGCAACATCAGCGCTGTGCCCTGGATAGCACTGCTGCCTTCCTGCTCCAGAAAGCTCCAAAAGCAGATTTATTTTCTGCAGGAACGTTTTAAAGACTTTAATTTGAAACCTAACCTCTGACCACCGTCACAAGTCAGACCAGACCGCCCAAGGAGCGTCTGCACCAACACAGTGAACAGCACGGACTTACCCACAGCACAGCAATTACTCACTGTGTGTAATTCATTAGCTCCATGTTTGTGTGCATCTCCTCAGTTCAACACGCAAAGGCTGATTAAACCAACGGCCCAGAAATCTCATACAAATAGTAATTCATGAAAACTTCTGCACCTTCACTGTGCAAGCGGTCTCAAAAGTTGACTGAGTCTTGTTGAGCGAGCCTGTTGGGTGCCACTGTGACTAACAATTAAAAATAATTTTGGACACTGAATATTAGCTTGACAACTCCATGCTCTTGCCCATTCACCCCACCCACTCAGAGTAACAGCAACTCGGTGCCGTGAGAAACAAACACAGGACCTCACCAAGCCGCAGGGTTGATAGCACAACCACCAAGAGAACAAGTTTACATTCATTCTTCATTTCATCCCTAGGAGATAGTAATGATCTGCACTACTATATACTGTAAGTTGAAGATTTGTAGTTGTACAACCTTGTAAAAAAGGTTGAAACCTGAATTTTCTTCTCACCCCCTGTAGCAGGTGGAGTTCTTGGAGTCTTTCAGAAGGTGTTCAGAAATGATGATTGAAGACCTGTCACACACACAAAGGAACTGCTTTAGGATCTGAAGTCACTCAACCTTTATAGATGAGATTTGATCATGACTGTAAGTATGCAGTGTTGAGAGAAAATCTGCAAACAGCCTGTGGGCAGCAGTTTCTTGCCCCAAATTATACCCAGCAAGACCAAAAAGGCAAAACAAGAATCCAGCTCCTTTTAATCAGAAGACAAAACCACTTGTGAGTTGCCAGAGCTTTACCTGAGTAAGCAACAGAAACACTCAGAGTCAGAAAAAAAAATAATAATTGTGTTTTCCTTTTTTCTTCATTTCATCAACTTCAGAAGACTGGCAAAAGCAAGACCTATTTCTCAGTGAAAAGCAAACAAAATTAAGAAGCTTCACTGTAATCAGAAAGCCACAAGATCACACCATTCACCGAAGCATCTACCTTTCACTCCAGCAACGTCTGATGGCAGCCCAGGATTACATCCCATCCCTGCACGGCCACAGGAGCACGGTGTCTAAAACATGACCGAACCGATGGCAAGTTTACGTGCAGCCCCGGAGGAGAGCGAAGCGCTCTGCAGTGCAGCACTGCGCTCAACGCGCTCTGTGACTGAACAAGTAGTGTTTCTGACAGCGAGATATGCGGAGGGTTTGCTCACCTGCTCCGTCACCAGCGTTCATTACAGCCTGAACGTTGTGACTCTTGGAGTATAAACCCCTCGCCGAAGTGCCACGGAGAGGCTCAGCGCCGCGCACGCGGCAATAAACAGGATAATGGCACATTAGGAGAGAGAACAAGTGATTAAGAGTGGTCACAGCGTTCAATTCAGAATAGCCAGGCTCCTGCGATAAGACAGCAGTATTTCCTTGAAGGTCAAAACATGTATTTACAGAAGCTTTAGCTCCAATACAGAGAATAATGTTTTAGAGAGGGCTATAAAGGCAAGTTGTTCCCGCAGGCAGATAATCATTTCAGGCAATGCCAAAGGTTCAGAAAAGACTGGGGTGGCAATAATCATTTTAAAGGAAATACTGGACTTACAAAAATCATTTTAAGTAGAAGCATACAATCATTCTTTTAGCTTGATTTGCAATAACCAAATTGATGCCATCGAGGTCACTGCTGAGCATTAAAAAAAGAAATTCAGACTTACATAGAATTGCTGACCATACCTCCATTGCTGAATTCCATATTATAATTAAAATCCTGCTCCCATTTTTGCTCTTTATGAAATTGATATAGTTTTTCAAAATCAAGATCTCAGTAGATGAAAACAAATGCATTTGAAATATCTTTGCAAACAAGTCTGTTTATTTTTTGTTAGAAATTAATTAACATTTATTCTGTTTGAGATGCTCAGCACCTGACTACTCCTTTCTGCCCTGACTGATCTTCAGCATGAGCTAACGCAGACAAACTCCAACACACCACCCAGCTAAAATGAACTGAAATCCCCCACATGGACTGGATTTGGGATTGATATGAGCATTAATGGTTGCTCCAAGGTGCCATTACACACAGTCTCCGGTTGGCAGCGCAGGGCCCTGACACAAAGGCAGCTGAGCCCATCATCCCCTCCTGCGCTCAGCTTTATTGCTTCTAATTAGTCCAGAGTGGGAGATAAACTGAACTTGGCACATTAAGACTTCTCACCAGCAGACTTGGCTCCACAGCAGCAACTTGTGTGGGCACCAGCACCTGCAAAGCTCAACGTGGGGCTGCTGCCCCAGCTCCTCCAAGGATGGGTGGTGTGTTACTGGGAGAACTGGAAAGGACACAGTGAATCAGGAACCCAGGGGGGTTTTGCACTGTACCAGGCTCAGTAACTCTTTCATCTGAACCAGCAAACTGGAGAGTAAACTGACCAGGAGGCTTTGGCACCCAGCTATAGAGGGCAGCTGTAAACCCCTTACCTTTACAGTTTGTATTTTAAACTGATTCTGTATACTGCCAAACACAGTGTAACGAGCTCTGTCTTGAAAATATATATATATGAAAAGATAAAATACATTTCTAGAGGAAAAGAATCATTACATTGGAATAAATAAATAAATACTCGCCTTTGAAGTGATTTTAATCTAATGTGGCTGCAGGATATAATCTTAACAGCGCACGTACTGCAGGATGCTCTATGAAATAGTTAGCAGGTTTAGACACATGAACAGATTTTTCTTCTCCTAAGATGTATTAATAATTAAATCAAAGCATGTTAAGCCTAAGAGGGATTTGCAGTGCTTGGGATTTGGGGGTAACTGTCACATCCCCACAATGACTGTTACTTTCAGTCTTACCTGTGTATCAGAGTGCTTTTTGGTCCGGGCAGCAGAGTGTCCCCTGCACTGATTTCAGAGTAAGTCCTGTCACCACCAAGGCTCACCGGGTAGGATGGAGGAACTCACCTCCACCCATTGCCCAGGGACACCCTCCTTGTAGAGCTAAGAATCAGTTCCAGTAAAACTTAACACGAATTTGCCTTTCTGGACTAAAAATATATAGTATTTCCTGGCTAATATTCAAAGATTAGTATTGCCTCTGCCAGACCCAGCTCTCCTCCAGCCAGGGGAGACTTTTACAAGCTAGAGTAAAACCTAGGTATAAAGCAACTCAGTACTACTAGGAAATTTCTAATACTCTAACACAACTTTATCATTATATAAACAGACCACATAGGTAGAGTTATTGCCAAGTTTTTAAATATGCCAGTCTCTGCAGTTCCCGAGAGGCCTTACAGGGTAAGTGCACAAAGGAAACACTCCCCACAAACCATCTCTGGCCAGTGAAATATGGGAAACTGAGCTGGTTTAGACAAAAAAAGTGAACTGGTGAAGTTTCCAGTTAAGTTCCTGAAAGTAAACACGCATGTTTGAAATTCCATGATTAAACTGCGGGTTTGTTCACAAAGCTCAGAGCTGAGAGGAAGCAGGAGCATCTACCCACACACAAAAGAAAAAGCTCCAAACTATTCCAAGTTTCCAGCACCCTGGGGTCCCATAAGCCGTGCGAGGGTTGTTAAGCGCTCGCGGC